CAAAGGTAAACAAAGTCGAGCTATCAGTGTCAATCGATGCTCCTGCTATAACACTGTATACTGTCCGAATATAGGATCACATCCCATTTTTAAATTTATTTACCAGTCGAATTGCTTTTTGACGTAATCACCTTCCGATCAAAATAGTTTTCGATGTTACTTAAGTCACCCGATTTCTATGGAGATGCCGTTTGCCTTAAGTAACAGCACTGAGAAACCCGTGAAAAGTGTACTTTCGTCGTTTCGCTTTCTCATTATTAAAGTGAATAAATCGAACTGTTTGTTGCTAAGATGATTTCAGTGGTCCTAAAATGATGAATGGGCTGCACGTAAGCAGACGTAATTGATAATTCTCCAGAATATCCTGGTAAATACACTTTGACTTAAGTAACAATAGGGGCCACCAAACGACGTATAATAACTTTTGACTCAAAAACCAGTATTTCTTAGCATGAAAGCTAGCGATTTGCATTTGTATGATTAAAACCCGGCTAAATATGTTAAACATTGCTACCACTATGAGATTATATGTGTTTAATTGGAAATAGGAATAACTTTTCGGTCATCAAAACAAAACTTTATTTTTCTCGGATCGGTGCGAATGTTACTTACGACATAATGAAAATTTGCTCTTGGAATGTAGTGCAACGTTATGCTCGTTTTGCAGAGTGAAGAAAAATTGCACTGACAAATTTATGCTCCGTTTCGGTGGTGTCGTGTATTAAAATCTTTCTTAATGCTCCTGTGTGCAATAAAACAACGACTACATTATATGAGTTCATGGAACTGGTTCATGAAGTTCGAGTACTAGTGCTGGAATCTGAATTAGCCGTGCACACTAAGATTTTGTTTCCGTGTTCGGTAAGTTTTACCGAAACCGAAACTGAACATTCGGTAAAACTTTGACCTTCATTTTAAAGGTAATTGAATTTGAAAATAGTTTTAAAACATGTTCAACCTTGTTCAAATGATCAAATCTTGTCATTTTAGTAGACATTTATGTTCAAAGTAGCTTTTACCGAACAGTTAAGCTGTTCAGACTTCGGTAAAAATTACCGAAGTCGGCGATAGTTTCTAAGTGTGTGTAGAAGGCTTACAATTAGAATCTTAGCAAAGTAAATATTGCAGTAGAATCATCATTTTGTTTCAATCTCAATACATTCTTTTCCGGAACCCCTTATCTTATGGAACAATAACAAACAAGGATTATGCAATACAGTATCATTGTTGTTAGCTATACCCAACTAACAATTTTCGAAATGTAAACGCTTTACTCATTTCAATTATACAGCCTCAAGCTGTATTCAAATGTTATACGATATGAGGAAACCTTTACTCAACCTCTATACTGAGTTCCAGATTGAGGATGTTGTCGAAACCTGGAGCCTTCATATTTTTGGATTTTGTTGTTGTTTTCCTTTGATTTGTTTTCCGTCGATCTTGTTTTCCGTGCTGAGCACCAATGCTACCGACGCCAAGGAGGCAGCTCCCACACCTGGACCCTACACCTATCGACCCATCATCTCATGAACCGAGGACCAACGGCTTTACTTCCCTTCCGACGGAAGGCGTGATCAGAGATGTTATGCCTCAGAACATCTCGGTGGCGCCGACTGGGATTGAACCCAGGCCTGCTGGGGTGAGAGGTAATCACGCTTACCACTACACCACCGGCGCCGCTCATATTTTTGGATGATTTGATATAGGCCAACAGTTTGTCAGCTGTGATCTCGGATTCCTCAAGAAAGATGTTGGGAATCTGATGGGGGTTGGCTGCGTTTTTAGCTACCGCAGCCAGGTGTGGACTTATGCTGTTCTGTCCAAGATTGTGGGTGGTCATATCACTGCGGCCTTCTCCACAGGGGTTATCAGATGAACCACTGAATCGTCGGATTTAGTCCGTAGAACTTCAATATAGGAACTCCAGGATGAATCGGAGATATTTTGTTAATACAAACATAAATCTCACATAATATAGTAAGCTCACTGGACCTTACATTTATTCTGGACATAGTGGAAAACTTGATTGAGCATGTAGAACTTCAAGATGAATTCTTCAGGAAGATTTGAAGATTTTACTGAGTCTCGAATATGGAGTTTTAATTTCATATTGAGTGTTTGAACTCTACGAGGATTTTTGAATGCATATCTTTGAATAAAATCTCAAAAAATGTCTTTTATGTCCTTTAATGATAAAGGTCTGAGCTTCAGATTAATTTGGAGACCATCAAAAAAATGTTTTCTTATATTTCTCTGATTTTGTAAATAGCTGAGTTTACAAAAAGCGAAAAAAGTTCCTTAAAATAAGCCTTGGAAAAAATTGGGACTGCAACAATTAAGGATCTGTTAAGGTTAGTTTCTATACATTTAAGACATCAGCATGAGCTTCAGGACAATTTAAGAAGTTTCAAGAATATTAGAGAGGTCCAGATAACTCCTGGAAAGTTTGAGAATCTTCAGACATATTTGGAACAGAAGTCCACAGATTTTCTGGGGAGTTTAAAGGTTTTCATGACATTTCAGGAGAATTATGAGAACATCAGGTAAAATCAGAGAATTTGAGAGCAACTCAGTTTACTTCAAAGAAATTGTTGGAACTTTAATTACGAGAATCTCCGGGGATTTCCAAAAACCTCAGTAAAGTTCCAACTTCAGAGAAGTTTAAACATTTTTAGGCAGTTTAATTATTTCCAGAGATGTTCCGAGGATGGAAGATCAGAGAACTTCAGAGCAGTTCCGTTAAATAATTGCAGATTTTTTCAAGAGGTGTCGAGGAATAACGGCATATTCCGAGAATTTCAGAAAAGTTTTAGAAATTTCTGGAAAATTTCGAGTTATTCAGAGAAGTTCTCTGAATATCGAAAAAAAAATATAGGAATGTAACAGAAGTTCCTTGAATTCCATGACAAATTTTGGAAACTTCATGAAAAAAAAACGAAAACTTTAGGCAAGTCCATAGAAGTTCAAGGAAGTTTCAAGGGGTTGGTCCCTCCGCACAGTGTGCCAAAAACGGATTTGGGTACACCTGGGCACACTCATGGGCACTGTTTGGCATCCATGGTTGAAAAAATTTGTTATTTAAAGTATTTGGCAGCACTGAAATATTTTCTGCGCCTGTGCGTATGTGTCAAAATTTGATTTAATCATAGTTATTGATACAATTCAATTTTTGGAGACTGCAATAACCGTGAATTTTCACCTAGTCCTGCCATGATTTCCTCGAAAGACAGTAAGCTCAGCGCACATCTTAATGCCTGTCTAAAGCAGCACATTAGGGGACGCGCTATTGTAATGAAAATTATCATCATCAGATGCATAACAACATTCCACTCAATGAATCCCACATTCTAAACAACACCAATTCTGATATGAAGAAATGTTCCTCCAAGAAATCTAATCCTCGGTAAAAAATCTCATTCCTTCCAGATACATGCTGGAGATAGGTACCTCCAGCTCCATAAGAAAAATCGTAACCCAGCGCTAAACCTCGACCATATTTCCTATCAGATGGGCTCAATCTGTTCATTAACTCTAGAGTGCAGCTGACTGTGGACTTATGTCCGGAAGGTCAATTCTTCGGTTAATGATCAAACTAAAATGTCCAGAAATACCATCTGACTGGAGCTGCTCATCGTGATACCAACCGGTGGAAACTAACGTTTTCAAATTGGCTCATTACTTGACTAGCCAATTGGTCCCAAGCAAATCGATTAACGTACCCCAATCTAGTCGAAATTCTAGTACTAAACTATGTTTGTTTTGATTCGCTATGAAAGTTTGACAGATAAAAAGAGGGGTTCGTGGATTTTCGTATGTTTCGAGGTGTGCAACGATTAGCTTGGGACCGAGGAGAGTATCAGAGCTGAGCCAAAAAGTTGAGCACGTTTCATCGGTACCTTCCCATTTTGCCGGAATAGTGAAGAAGTGATAAGATGATTTTTCATCGGTAGCTCTTCTAAATAAAGCAAATTGGTATATTTTAAAATTAAAAAAAATCCACAAAAATAACGGAAAATAATACAGTTTCCTTAAGATTGTAACTCCTTTGCACCTATAGTTGCGTAGTGCCCCTATAATGCATTTCACTATTATAGGAACCAAAGTTAGTAACTACCACCACTACTGGAACAGTGATCCCATTAATGGAGGAAGAGTTGTTTAAAAATGTATGCAGTTTTATTGCAATGTAATATTTTTCTAGCAAAATAGTGTTTGAAAGCTATATGTTTTCCGTGCTGAGCACCAATGCTACCGACGTGCCAGGAAGGCAGCTCCCACACCTGGACCCTACCTATCGACCCATCAACTCATGAACCGGGGACCAACGGCATTACTTCCCTTCCGAAGGAAGGCGTGATCAGAGATGTTATGCCTCAGAACATCCCGGCGGCGCCGACTGGGATTGAACCCAGGCCTGCTGGGGTGAGAGGTAATCACGCTTACCACTACACCACCAGCGCCGTTGAAAAATTGAATGTACATTGATAAATAAATAAATTGTCTTAGTATCTCCACTACTCGCTCACCCACTCTAAATACGCCTAAACATCCAAAACGCAATTAATTAAACATAACACAAATAGCATTAAGTAACATCAAATCCCTATAGAAACCGCATTCCAAATTGGCCAAGCATACCCAAGAGACCATTTCGAGTATCATTGTTTTATGTTAATGGATTTAATCCATCATTTGTCTGCCCCAACGACTGCACATATCCTGCGTTGAACTCATCACATCACTCAACCACTCATCACTTTTGCGAGGGCAAATCAATTTAATTTACTGTCAGGCGAACTACATCCGGAAATTAATGTTATTGCTCACATTACGTACGTGCGCCACCGCAATTGACCAGTGCTATCAATAAAAATCCCATTTTATTGTCCTTCACCCGTACATGGGGCAATAAACCATCAATCTTATTATCGGAATTGAAACACACTCTCCGACATCGAATAGTGACACCGTTTTCTCTACTTCTCCCTCCCCCGCAACAGATCGGCTCGTAATGTCCTGATCCGAACGAACGGCAGCAACGGCGAAGATGAACTGTACAGCACTCAACAGCAATCAAATCGAAACGACACCTAACAACCATCCCCGGCTGGCGGTACCAACAGCTGCGACCAGAGCTTCCGTTGGAGTACCGGTACCAAATGCATCCAGCAGTTCCGGGATTTTCTTCCACCACACCAACAACCTCCTGGACGTGCCTCGACCGAACAACTCCGAGGAGGAAAACTCTCCTACCGAACTTAACAACTGCCGGCGGATAACGGAGAAACCTCCCTTGGTAAGCATCCTCACTCATAACCGTTAAGCAATTTCAGCGAAATTATTTCACGAACCCAAATCGCAGGTCAAACGCCTAACCATGGGCATCCTCCGGACAGCCGAAGACAGTAGACCCCTGGTGCACAGCTCGTCCCCCTCGAGCTCATCCAGCTCGTCGCAAACGATCTCCGATGGATACGTCAACGAAGGCATCTGCAGCGAAGCAGTAGAGGCGAACGTAGTATTCAACAAATTCGGCGATTCCTGCCAAAGGACGCTGGTGACGCAAGCTACCGTGGAAGGATCACCCCGCTACAACCACAGCATAGCCCTGTATCCACAGGCCGGCTCGACCGGAGCCTCCATCCCACTGCGGAACGATTGCCTTAGCTTGAAGGAACAACACGAACTGAAGGGAGCGCCCTGGTTCCAGGCCGGGATTCCAAGGGAAATTTCCCTGGAGGTCCTCTCCCGACAGAATCCGGGAGCGTTTTTGGTGCGCCAGAGCACCACCAAACCAGGCTGTTTTGCTCTGTCCCTCAGAGTACCACCACCAGCACCAAAAGTAGCGCATTATCTAATTTTAAGGACGATACGAGGTTATAAGATTAAGGTAAGCGAGTCCCTTCCATAACGCATAAGGTCAATTCGACCAAGTCTTCCTGTTCTTGTAGGGCTTCACCAAGGAATTCAGCTCGCTGCGGGCGCTGATAACGCACCACTCTGTGATGCCAGAGTTGCTACCGGTTCCGCTGGCCCTGCCTCGACCCCCACAGGCCGGTCCACGACAAGAGGATCCCGAAATGTACGGTTCATTGAACGAGTTTCAGAAAATTATGGCAGAATAATGTTTATCGAAAGTTGATTGTGAAAGACTTGACTAGTCATTTAACCACTTAGGACTAGAAGAAGCGGGACGATAGGAAATATAAATATATGCGTTTGCAAAACTATTATAACAAAACTGTGAAAACATACAACGGTGACACATTTGGCTTTAATTCGAGAGAAAAAAATATGTAAAACACCAAGTTCAAATTGTTTAAACTGTAAGACGTGTGGTTGTATATTCCAATTGTTGAAACACATTAGATGTATGTAGTGAAAATTTAAAAACCATTAACCTAGTTGTGAAGTTTACATGTAGGAATAATTATTGGACAAATACACAGAAATACAAGTAACCGCGGCGCCGTGGATAATTTATTTTTAATCACAGAAATTTGCAGACGATCACGGTGCACGCCGAAAAATTACCCAAAATTAAGATCTGTTCCACTTTTCTCCAATCTTCCGTTCTTCTTCTTCTTATTTCCTTTATTTAACGTCGGTCTCTGTTCCGCAATATAGTGCCAATCATCAGTGCCGACGGACAATGGGACCAACGGAAGACGTGACCAGAGATTTTTATGCCTCAGAAAAATCCCACCAACCTCGGCTGAGATTGTACCCAGACCCATTGGGGTGAGAAAGCAGTCACGCTTACCACTACACCACCGGCGCCGGAAAAATGTTCCGAACAATAAGCTAATTTTCAGTAAACCACTTATAGTAGTTTACATTTGACTACGCAAAAAATAATTAATTATATTATTTGAGTAGTAGCTATACTGAAGATCCGAGAGATGTCGCCCCTACAGTGGTAGGAAAATCATTTTTGTAGTATGGAGAATATCAGAAAATCCACGATTTGTGACTAAACATGCTTTCAAAGAAGGAAACAAATAAACGAGGGTTTACCTTATCATCATAGTAATGTACTCGTGCAATTTCTGTGCATCTAAAACTTCTCATAAAGACGATAATGAATAAAAACTGAAAATTTTCATGCATTTCCAAATGGTTTTCTACCATTCCCATACATTCGAAAGTGACTGGCCCTCTGGATGTGGATGATGTCAAAAACAACAAAACATGATTAATTACTTACTCGTGAGTATTTTCTACCCAAAATTAAGTTCAATTGACTCAAATTAGAGAATATCTCATTTACTCACACTTAGAAATTTTTACAGAAATCTGTAAAATTTTACCGAAATCTCAACAGCTGAACGTTCGGTAAATAGTTTCGCAGATTTCCTGTAATTTTTCACAAATATCTGTGAATTTTTCGCAGATATCTGTAAATAATTACAGGAAAACTGTAAAATTGTTTACCGAACGTTCAGCTGTTGCGAAATCTGTTAAATAATCTTCACTAGTAGCTTATTGAACGGTAGTCATAATAAAGTCGAACCTCTCGTTCCGTTTTTGACAAAAACAAAAAGTGAGAGTGGGATGCAAAACTCAAAATTATCCAAAATTTAGTGAAACGAACTTAAATTTAGGGTATTTTTTTTTCTCTGTGTACCTTTGTTGAAATAATTTTAAAGAAAAAAAACGGCATTCAAGAAACCTGAACCATTAGAAAAAGGAGATTTTTCCCATCATTGTGACAAATTTGAGTTTAGTTCACTCATAATCGCCAAAATTGCAGGAACTCAGCGATGAGTAAATTGACGAAAATTTTACTCAGTCTATGAGTAGGGTACAAATATGAAACTACACACACAGCAAAAAAAAATATAATATCGATCAACTTAATTCAAGCTGATGTATGAAATAATGATGTAATAGCAAAAAGCAGATACAATATTACATCAATAGATGTAATTTTGTTCGCAAAATCGATGTACATCGTACAATGTAATCTTACACAACCTTAATCTTGGATGTAATATTCAACAACTTTTTTTCTGTGTACAATGTGTTGAATCGGAACCTACCTACACAGAAATAAAAAAATTACCCAAATTAGAGTTCTTTTGACTCAACCTCGAAGTTCCGTACGAGAAGCTATTTTTGGGTAAACATGGAAAAATCTAATTTTGGGTAAATGATCGAAAAGACTTCAGTGGGTAAATTTGATCAATAAGGAACAACTTATTTTTAGGTAAATTTAACTTAAAGATAAGTTATTTTACCGGGCACTTTTTCCGAATAAAAAAACCAAGCGTTGGGTCAGATTAACTCAACCATGGGTTATTTTACCGGGATTTTTTTTTATCAACAACCTATTTTTGGGAAAAATTATACCAACAGTAGGTTATTTTACCGGGCACTATTTCCAGGAAAACAAATGATTAAAGAAAAGGGACGCTTGCAGTATAACGAGCACGTAATTATTCCTAATGTTAAAAACCAAGAACAATAAAATCTGTGAAGACAACAACAAATTTATTATTATTCATTTTCCAACATCCGATGGTGTCGAAGGAACCGGCTCACGAGGAAAAAAGCTCGGAAAAAAGGGAACGGATGGCTTCTACGGCACACCTGGGTCACCAGAAAGAACCAGATCAACAGGCGTGGTGGAAGCTGCAAGTACTGGATATCTGAAAAGAAAAATAATGTGAAAGGAACCGAAATTAATTATTTATGTGCTGCTCCACTAGCGCTATGGATTCGCGACTCACCACTTTACGTCACTGTATGGCAATACACGTCGAGTTCTGAATCGAACAACCGATGGTCTCGAAGGAACCGGCTCACGGGGAATAACAGAACGGATGGTGGTAGCAAAACTTCCGGACATCGCACGCGTTGAACTTCATTCGAAGGGAGCCAAATCACAAATGGCGTCGTCGTGACATTTTTTTTTCATCCAACTCAGAGTTATTTTCACTCAACGCAAACTTTATAGTATAGTACCTAATAAATTTAGGCCCACAAAATTTCCGTTTTGTTTTTACTCATCTTTAGGCAATATACGTATTACTCAACCGTTGAGTTAAAATTAAGCATCATAACACATTGATTTTTACCCAATGGAATACTATAACGGTTTTACTTAAATTTGGGTTGTTTAAACTCAAGCTTTGAGTAAGTTTCATTTTCTGTGTAACTAATAAAAACCAAAGATTTAAGTATACTAAAGGAGAAAAATCTATACAACTTAAAGAAAATCCCAAAGGCTTTGTAGCCATTATGATTATTGTATAAATGATCAAACTTTATTTCTTTTTGAAGTTCAATGACTACAGCATTAGCGTTAGCGTTAGCGTTAGCGTTGTTATGATATACTTCGTAGATTGGATACTAGCGACAATCACGTCTTTTCTGAAATTCTCAGTTAGACTACTTTCAGGAATAATGCTGGGGAGTAAACATTGGTTCCAATCTAAACAAGAGTAACAGAAGCATGACTGTCGCTATTCCCGGCCACGCCCATCTTTACCATAACTAGGGATAGGGAAGGAAATGTTGATGTGGTACTTACTTAACGAGAGGCCACCGACTTAGCGACACCCTCATAAGTGCTACGGAGTTGGAGGGTTGGGTAGGGTAGTCGGTTAGGATTCACCTCAAGTTGGCGATGCAACCAAAAGTATGTATTGTTTATTTGTTGTTTATTTAATCTCTCGATAGCCGGCTATCGAAAGAACATATTCATTTTGTTTAGTGATCATGAACTTTAAGAGTCATGACGGAGAGCTGGGATTAAACCCATGATTTTCTGCTCAGTAAGCAAACACGATCCCTCCAGGGTCATCGAGCATCTCAGAACCATAACGCTTCAATTTGTGATTAGTCCCGGCAGCGTTGCCAGATTGTTTTAAAGCTTATCGGTATCAAAGGTATTAAAAAATCGGTATTTATCGGTATTTACAATTTAATTAACTATATATTTTTGCCGTTTTTGAAAGCGAAAATTTTAACGATGGTGACGACGTGGACTTGAGGGGAATGGCTATGTTTAACGGCTTTCTCAGTCTTAAAACAATCTTATTTTTTTTTAATTTAATTTTTAAAATTATCGTTGTGCTCAAGTGGTGATCAAAGTTGAGAGAAAATAGTTTTTTTTTTCAATAAAATATCATTAAATGAAACCAAAATATGAAAAATCAGCCACAATAACGACTAAACTATTGACAATTACTACAAACAATATTTTCACTTGAAAAAGGCCACAACCCTTGGCCGAAATGTCCAGCAGATTACATCGTAGTTGTTGCAGTTTTTAAGACTGAGAAAGCCGTTAATCAAAGCAAAATTTTAGCTTTTGTACAAGGATCGGAAAATTCCGGAACGAAGCCAAACAAACATCCAAAGAAAGACGAAAGAAGCTCTCCTGAATGAAGGTCGATGAAAGTTCTAAGACAAGTTGGAAAAACATCCGGGAAATAGCCAAGACACGAATTGAGAAATTTGTGGAAAATAATTAATTTCCAGGGAAAGCCAGAAGAAGCTCGGAAAGTCGGAAGCAACTCACGGAACAATCGAAAGAAACAAGAACATAATTCCGGAAGAAATAGATTCCTGTGGGATGTTCTAATGATCCAGAAAATTTTCCTGATATTCATAAAACATCCCTGAAGACTCCGCAATTGCCCTGAAGTTTTCGGTACATTCCTAAAATGTACTTGGGAATATTCCATAATTCCTCGAAAATCCTTAAAGTTCTTTTATTTTTCCTGAAATTAGGGCTGTTTTGGAGTTCTTTGGTCATCCTCGAAGCGCTCGGAATTTCCGATTATAATAAAACTACAGGAATATCTTTAATCATCTTTGAAGGTCTCTGGACTTTCTTGAAGATTACGAATTTTTTTAAGTGCTCTCACAATTTTCTTGAATTTATTGTAACATCAGAATTGAAGTTCTCTGATCTTCCCGATTTTTTTCAATTTTTAAAATAATCGACACTGCCATATAAAGCAAAGAACTTCCCAAACAATGTTCTCACAATGTTCTAATGTTCACGTACCTTCCATTACGTTTCCTAAATTTGCATGAACCCCTCAGGACATTGCTGAAGTTTTCGGAAATTACCCGAGGTTCTCGGAACTCCTTTATAATTTCAGCAATTTAATTAATTAATTGATCTGTCCTGATGTTGTCTGAGCTTCACTAAAGTTCCTGAAAACCATTGATTTTCCCTGAAGTTCTTTGGCCTTGTGAAGTTATATGATGTTTCCTTAAGTTCACTGGAGTTCGCTGGACTTTTCTGAAATTCCCGGGTTTTCGAATTTTAACAGAAGTGAAACTGTCTTTAATTTATCGAAACTTACACAAAAATCTGGACTTATCTGAAGTTTCAGAACTTCTTAACTGTGTGATCGCGCACGGGCAGGATCCCTACGTTGTGTTGATTTTTGTGATAATTACGAAGACGGATAGAATTCAAACGCACCGATTGCTTCGCCGT